CATTTGTTAACGAAACAACTGTTGGTGAAGTGATTGTTGACAAAATGAATCAATGTTTTATATTAACGTTTATTTTTGCGCTATCAAAATTCACGATTTTTGATTGGTCGATCAACAATTGCGCGGGTTAAATTTTTTGTTACCAGGACGGTCTCTCCTGTTATATGTAATGAATGATTGAATCAATTGAATCATGTATTATTATAATGCTATGAAACACTGGCGCAGTGGTATTTTTATTTTTTGACCATCTTGTATAACGTTGTATAATGATAAATGACTTCATGGTTTGAATGTGCTCACCATCTATAAACTTGATTGCTTGAAGATGGACAGGGACGTCGTAGAAAGTTGAGTTCCATGCGTTGAAATGGCCTGAGAGGAATTTCTCTACGAAAAAAACGAAAAAAAAATGTGGGACAGTCGTCCTATTTGTATTTTTTTGAATTAATAAAATAGACTATTGTCTTGACCTGAATGATGTCGTTGTGTGAGTAAAAGACATGAAGCTCACTGTCACGTTTTCGTTTAAAAACTTGTTTCACATATAGAAAATAATAGTCGCGGGACATTGCAGATCAAGTGTCATTCAATATAAACGTTACACGAATAAAATTATTATCGTCCGCTTCAAAAAAAAAAAAATCTCCGTTTTTCATGTAGTAAGCGATTTTCAACCATAATAAAATTTTTAGAGCCAGACTGGAACTTTTAACGACAGTTAAAAGAAAAGGCTAGCTTAAATATTGGTTACTCTATGCCAGGTTTGGAGCATTTCTTTTATTCACACTTATTTTAAGATTATCGCTCAACCAGTATGCAGACTAAAGCAAATTCAGCAGCAACAGTTGTGCCAAACTGTTCCCTATAAAGTCGCTTATAACTACTTGAAAGGTTGTGTTAGAAAAATTTTGCTTTTAATTATAAGGGACTGATTTATAAGGTTATTAATTTATTTAGAATATTAAAATTACATGGTCAAAATTTCAAAATAATAATAATAATAATAATAATAATAATAATAATAATAGTTAATTTATTGTTTGATAATTATGAATACAAAGAATTGGAGAAATAATAAT